ATGCCAGCAGACTCCACATGTGCCAACACACTGACTCAATAACACTACCAGCCTCTCATCAACTCAACACAACTTGCACTACTATTGCCGTGTGAAGAAACTTAACTTACAATTTACTGAAAAAAGCGACATTATCACTACGAAATAGTAATTGTACATTTAATCAGCTTTAGCATATCAGTCAAAGGCACACAACTCTTCATAACTTGAATCAACACTTACAATTGTCACACACATACACTATTATTTGAACTCACACAATTGACATTTTACCTTGCAGAAATCAAACTGTTTTAATTTCACAAACAAACTTAAACCATCAACATTCATTCACCAAATCTCTGCATAGACACTCTTTGCAATCTTATCCCACTTGCCACATTTAACAAGCAACCTATTATCACTTTGTGTATGTCAAATATATATATAAATTCATGTCGAAATCTATAACTACGTTGTTTTTTCCTTGATTTCTTCAAGTTGTATTGTCTTCATATGTTCATTTAATTTATTTGTTGTGGATAAATGTATAATGTACACGCACATTTTAGGCCTTCACACAATTTCACCTTCTGACACATCTTAGCATAAATTCTGCAACAATGGTAAAATGCCTGCTGTAAGCTTGGGTTTTCACAACTTTACTAGCTGCAACTCAAAGCTAAGTTATTTTTTAAGTAAATCAAAGCTGTTACATTAGTAAACCATTATGAATAAGTTATATTTTGACAACATTCAATGAGATTTGTGGCAATGTTGACATATCAGATTCAACAATAATTTTATTCTTAATTTGTATTGCTGATCTATTCCAGAACATATTTCAGATATCCCTTATTTCTTACAAAAACAGCTTTACATGAAGTCACATTTTGCAGCATAGTAAGTAACCTTTAAATTCAAAATAAAACACAGGAGTTTTGTCTACAAAGTTTGACATAATTCAAACAGTAATTCCTGAAATCACTAACTTAAAATTTTTTGGGTTGAAAAGTAGGTGCAAATCTGTTTGAACTAATCACAACAAATCAACTTCCAGTACCAAAAAGATATATACACATTTTCATAAATTGATTTTTGTTTGCTCCTTTACACTAATTTGATTCTCAAGTTCATATGACTTGAGGAGAAAAAAAAGAAAAACACAATGTTGGGGACTCCAAAATTTTTCCCAACAGTAAACAACTGTGTTATTATCATAGATCACACATATTGGTAATTTTTCAAAGATGTAAGCAATAATGTACTTTTTTGTTATGAGCAAAAAAAAAAAAAAAAAAAAAAAACAATTAGCAACAAAATCTTTGTGTTAAGAGGAAAGATCAAAGGACTTGTTTTTATCCTTTTTAGAACTTTAGTAATTTTGGTTAAAAATTTTGTTTTTCTGTCATCAACATGAGACCTTAAATTTGTATGGTTAATTTGAGTGTTTTTTTTTATTGAATTTGATTTGAAAATTCTTGCAAAAAATCAGATAACTGGTGGATTTTAATGAACCTTTAAGGACTTATTCAGAAATTAAATAAATATTTTTTTAAAATGTTTCTTTCTCAGAAAATCTTTGTAAAAATGTGTGTGTGTGTGTTATGTATTTTTTTACACTCATTTAATTTTTTATGAAATTGAGAAATTCTTTTTTGCATCACACAATGTTGTTATAAGGACAAACCCTTTAAGAATTTTAAACATTAAATTTTGGGAGCCAAACAGGACTTCTAGTTGTAGGAAATCAGCCCTGAATCGTAAAATAAAACTAAGGTATTTTTAATTAAAAAATTTTTTAATTGCTTTTATGAATAAAATATATTATGGATACTATAAAAAATTATTTTTGATGAATAATGAATTTTTACAAGAACTATTTTTCATTTTTTTAAAAATTTTATTTAGAATAAGTTATAAGCATTTAAATCTTAAAATTCTGTATTAATTTGTAGCACTCAATTGATATTATTAAATTAAAACTGAATTTACTAATCATAAATGCAAAACAACAAGCTCCAGTACTTTTAAAAGAATTTTGAATTGTTTTGGGTGTATAAACATGCCAATTTTTGTAAATACAAATGTCCATACATGGCATAAAAAAACAGCTAGAATAAATCTAAGGGTTGATAATTCTCTAACGTTTTCTAAACAAGAGTCAAGTACAGGTATAAAGTTAAAGTACTTAAAATCTAATAAAAAATTACATTGCTTAAAATATTTAAAATTTTTAAGATTAATGGCTAGGTAATCGAATGCAACATGAACAACTTTCTTTATGTGATGTTTTAACAAGAAAGTTGTTGTTCATGTTATATTCAAGTAATTTCTCTTAGTTCTGTTTTCCTTACTTAAATTTCCCAAACATCAGGATGTCAATAAATCATTGAACATGTCAGAAAAACAGCCCCACTGTGTTAAAAAAAAAAAAATGAAGAAAAAAATGCTTTTCTGTGATATTTTAAGTAAGTAATATTTTTTAATTCAGATTAATTAAACATTTAACTGGATGTTGTAAAAAAATAATGCTTATTTTTTGCTTAAAATATAATGAAAGTAATGTCTATTTACATACAGTAGCCTGTGAGATCATAGGTCAAGAACAGTAACTTTTTACTGTAATCCCAGATTTTAAAAGCACAAAAATAATTTTAAAAAATGTTAAATAAATATAAAACACAAGCAGTGCAATAATAAAGAAATTGGTATTTATGCTTAATAAATTATTTTTAAGCTTATATAACCAATATTTCAGAAATATTTTTTATTCTATACACTAGAATTAATAATTTTATTTTTTAAACTATATTAGGAGCATTTTTCTTAGTTAAATGATCCTTTTGAGTTTTATTAATTACTTTTATTTTTTTTATTACTTTCTTACCTGTGTAATGTCAAAAAATATTTATTTGCACCCAATGGGGTCTGTCTTTCTTTCTTTCTTTTTTTTTTTTTTTTTAATTATTCTGAATTTATGAGTTATTGAATTATCATATTACTCTTCCAATAGGGGAGAATATTGATTCAAAGGAAGTAATTCAGAATTATTTCCTTTTTTTCATTCAGAATTATTTCCTGTTAGATTATTTTTTTGTATGGATGTTCATCCATACAAAAAAATAATTTAGCAGTTGTCAAAATTTAAAAAACAAAATTAAAATTCTTTTAAAAAGTTTCACACTTGAAAATGGCATTAAGTTTACAGTTTTTAGTTCTTGAAGCATGGCTTTATTTAATAATATAAAAAATGTTCTTATGAACAGGAATGGGATGAATTTCAAAATTGCAATTTAAAAAAAATATTCAGAGTAGAATTATTTCTATAAAATCTGAAAAACAATGTGTTTCATTAAATTATGCAAGCACCAACACTCTTTAAAAAAAAAAAAAATTTTTTTTGAGTCTTTTTGAATTAATTTTAATAAGGTCCAGGAAATTTTAAAACAGAGGTAGCTAATTTTTGCTTTAATTTCTGAAAAAAATGCATCCATTTTGGTTGTACCTACTTATTGAGAATATTAAATTTAATCTATGAGTTGGCAATTAAAATTAAAACTAAGAAATATTTTTCATTATTTAAAATTCATTTTAAACTTAGGTATCATGTTTTTTTAGAGGTACCAAATTTAAAAGGTTAATTTGCTACAGGAGTTAGCTATAATTTTATAACCAAAACAGTTTTATTTTACATTTCAAAATAGAATTCTTCTATGTGCAATGTCCCTTCAGGATGTTGCCAATCATGGCTCATCACAATTTCCTGATCTTAATAAATTTTGTTTTTTTTCTTATCTCTCTTAAACCTGGTTCTGCCTTTTAAGCTTGCTAGGTAGGTTGTGTTTTTTCTCCTCTGTCCTTCAATCTATCCTGGGAGTTTCAAATTTTCCAAGTCTTCTTTCCTCATTGTACCCTAGAAAATTCAACAGTCTCTTCCTGATATTATGTAATAGTAATCAATGCGCCTTTGAATTTCAGTGTCGAACTTTCTGTCCTGTTAAAACAGTTTCCAGATATTTAAGTTGTTGTACTTGTTTGAGTTTAGTCTCTCCAATTTGTAATTTACATATTGAGCTTTTCCTTTTGTTAACAATCATGCATTCTGTCTTCTTGCAGTCGATGTTTACTACTTTCTTTTTTTTTCTTTCACTAACTTCTGTCGTTCTTGTAGTTTCCTTGTTGTGTCTGCTGACACAGTTATCCAAGATTGTTGCCAACAATAATGAATCCTCGTAATTAATGTTATATTCATTTTTTTTTAAATATTGAATTAATAAAAATAGTTTAACTTTTTTTTTATTGTTTTCTTTCAATTAAAACTTAATGATATTTAATTTATTAATTTATTGCAATACATTTTAAAATTTGAATAAGTAATTTCGTGGTTATATTGCTTATTTCTTAATTTTACGAACTTGCATTGTCACCTTTTAAGTAAGAAACAAGCTGTTGCTTAACTTCGGTGTTTGACGTTTTTTAACAAAGAGAAAAAAGTTTCCCAAAGTGCCTAGGTTTTTAAAGTCAGAATTTGAATGATTTTTCTCTCCTCAACTAAAATCTTTCTCTTTTTATTTCCTCTGTTCGGCCTCGTGTCACACTGACTAAACTTAATTATAGTTTTATATCCCAGAATAAAACATAGGACTCAAAAATAAATAAATCGTTAGTTTTCTTTTCACTCAGCGAGTGGAGTACAGTACAGAAAAATTGACTTGAGAGAGGTGATAAGCGTCGTTTTTTAATGAATATACAGTTCATATAACGCATCTTTCCCATATTACATTATGGATTCTCGGTCCAAATTCACAATTCTAGTAATATCATGCTTACCTTCAAGTTTTAAAATCTGTTCATATCAAGGACAAGGTTAAAACACACACACACAGCAAACTTAATGCAAAAATGCAGACAGACAGCCAATCAACACAAATATGATGTCAATTTAAATGATCAGTAAAGACAAAAATTAGATGAATGAAACCCCAGATTTATAACATAACCTTCAGTTCTCTTCTTACCTGAGTAATTTACTCCTTGGACCCTTGACTGTAATTTCAGACGTCGCCAGACCAAACGAAAAATACATGTGGTAGCCATGATAGATTCTAATGTTATCAAGCGATCAGCCACTTCCGCTCTGCGAACGCGTTAACAAGACAGATAACTTTGTTCCATTTGTGGTGCACATTCATTTAGTTCCTGTTGTATAACTTTCTGTTTTAGTTTTAAGATATAATAAATTAAAAAGTAGTTAAACCAATTCTAGCAAATAAACTTTCTTTAACCAGTCAGGGAGCACAGATAATGGATCGAGTGGCTGTTGAAACTATTATTCATCAACCGTTTTTCAATTTTTCTTCGTCAAACTCAAAGCAGACGAAGAAAAATTGAAAAATCATTTAGAATCCTAATTCTACATCTTTATAAATTACTAAAAATAACTTGTTCAATTTCTATGCAAAAAGTGGATCACGGCTATGTTTTGAACAGATCCAACTATTTTGAATATTCGAGTTCTAATTGATCAACAAATATACAAGAGGGCGTTGCTATCCACCTACACACAAGTTTTTTCATCGCGTGATCAAGTTAAAATTTTTAGCGCCAATTTCTCTGGAGTCTACCCAAGTAAGTAAATAAATAAAATACAGAACACTAACTCACTTTGCCAGTGAGCATTCCCACCTTCCCCTACCCTCGCTTGTACTGAACGGTACGAAAATGTGACAGGGGCTAAGATTTTCCATGACAAGTCTTCCCGCTTGCGGTTAGGTGCCTGGAAGTGGGTCGATCTTCCGGGACCCATTGGTTGGACGGACGGTCCTGTTCGCATTCTTGGTGTGTGGTTTTGACCCGACCTCCAGCTGGAGAAAAAAATGGTCAGAAGCACAGGCAAAGGTCGATGCGGCCGGCCAGACTTGGCGTCGAAGGAGGTTGTCTGTGAAGGGCAGGGCGGAGGCGTGTGCCACTTACGTCCTTCCTCTTGTCCTTTACCGCTTGTCTGTACTTCCTCTCTGTAAGGATTGTGATGATCATCATCACACACATACATACATACTTATACAAATTCAAATTATACAACAACAAGCATTCATTGGATAATAAATCAACACTACTACTGTGTAATGGACAATCTACAAATCGCAGCTATGCGACAATTTTATAATCGCTATATTTTCATGTAGTCGATTTCGTGCACTTTTGGGAGAATCGGATACCAGATGCTTTCTTAGATCTCCCCAAAACTCGCTCGCTAATTGGTCAATAAACACACAAGTGGGCGTTGCAATCCACCCACACACAATATATTTTTCCAGTGCGTGACTAAATCAAGTTTCCCGCCAAGGTACTGTGATCCTGTCACGTGATTACATTTGTCGGAGTTAACTCCTCCTTCAGTCCGCTAACCCTTTCACCAGGGGTCTCTCTTCCCTGGCTATAAATAGCCGCTGACTCTTTGCCTCTATCTCTCTTTTTCCTCCAGGCCTGTGCACTGACACCTTGAGGTAAACTCTCTGTTATTCCTAGAGAATTTTCAGCTATCAACCTCGATTGTAGTCGCTAACAAGGGATAGCGTGGAAACACGCTAAGCACAATATTCACACACGCACGCACACACAGAATATTCACACACGCACGCACATACAGAATATTCACACACACTTCGTCCTTTGTACTGTTTCCATGTATTGTAACTTGTTATTAATATATATTTGTATATACATATATTATCGGTCTTGTTTTGTTTGCTTTCTTTACCTTCTACTTGATTATTTCTCTTGTTGTTGTCTTTGTTACATTTGATATTGTAAAAATTGTAGAGGGTCGGTTTTTATTTCTATTTATAACCAATAAAAATTGGCTGACCCACTATACATTATCTATAAATAGCAAACATGAGTTTGTTGGGGATGTGCAGAATTTATTAATTATAATTGAGAGAATCAGAAGGAATTTGTGTAGGTTGCGTGACTTTCTGCATCCTGTTGTAAGTAATTCCCACAACCTGCTCCCCCTGTTTGGTGTAATGGACAGACTCCAGAAATGCTTATAAATAAGCCAGCTTAATTCTTTTCTTTTGATAGCTGTATTAAGTTGAATAAAGCTTTCCTAAGTTTATTCGCTTCGGGTTATTCATTACACATCCACAAACAAATAAATAAACGGATTTTAAATACGATCAAAGACAAGACATATTCAATTTAGAAACCAATAAAACATTTATATACAATTCAAAGTAATATACAAACAGGATATTTGGTATATATTACTATGGCAAAGTGTGTGTGATATTTTAGGTTTCGGTATGTCTCTCTTAGTATTCGTTCATTACAGTTCTTAGTTCATTTACAGTCTTTCTAGATTTGTGTTGATATTAAAATTGTCGATATTAAGTGTTTTTTTGGTAGGAGTTCTTATCGAGTGATTTAACTTTGACTGTAATATTTCGAAATCGTTCGCACGTTGATTTTTACTTAATAGGTAGTGAATATAATTCACTTTGGATAAGCAAGGTTTGTGATTCGATGTCCACAGAGTTGGTTGAGTTTAAATTGCAAGTGAGTCAGCGTTGATGTACTTTTGCGCGGTAAAATCGTGATTTCGAGTGACGTGGAGTATGTTGGCAATTTCTCTGTGGATGTTCGTCTCTGACTGCTTTGGTCAGTCGGCGTTTTCTTTTATATGTTTTGAAAGTCGAAAATCGGCTCACATAAGTTTTGGCGCAATTTCGTTTTGCACGTGAAACTTTCAGATTATTGTGTCGTTAACCAATGAGATTTGTTGATTCGCCTAGTACGGTTTTTATTGGTTGAAGTTTTCCGTACGTAGGCGTAAGATATAGACTGTTCTGTTACTAGGGTTGATAGGTAGGAAAAGGACGTGTCTACAAGTTTGCCTCTTTCTCCTTTTTCTCTCTTCTTCCTGCGAAGATGTGACCTTTAAGAATTATCGTCTCGACCATGCGGTTAGACGTTAAATAATATTTCACGCATTCACGTACGTACGAACTCTTACGATCTTTTCCAATCTTCTCACTCACACCACCACTCACATGCTGAATATTCCCTATACTCACATAATCTTTTTCCTTACACAGCAAAACTGTTGAAAAAATTTATTACCAGAAACTATCACAAACTTTCTTTCAGTGAACTTTGGGACACAAATAATAGTTAAAGAGAGACAACTCTTGTTTTACTCAATGCATGCCTTTCTTTCACATCCTTGTTTGTACATCTTGTTAAATACAAATTTTATGTGTAATGATGTCTTTGGCTTATCCTCTTTTTTCTTCATGTTAGTTTGGTTTCCTAATCTAAGTTAAATTAATGTGGTGAAGTCCGCCACAGGATCATAAAGCGCTCGAGCGCTTGCTATCCTCCGTTTTGTGGAGGGGACGCAAGCACCATGTCGACAAAGAAGTCTGTGCATAACGTCCCTGTCATAGGGGGGGTCTGGGAATGCCGCATTTGGAGAGTCACAAGCTCGCATCGAGGTTGGCTTTCCTATGCTGCGCATTGACAGGGTATTCGATCATGGTGGGGATTGTAAGGGACGCCTTCCCTTTCCTTACTATCAGTCCTCCAATCTCGCGGGTTGAGCGCCGTCGTAAAACCCGGGATCAATCGGATTTCCTTCGCGAGTGTCGATATGCCGTGACGATCATTCCTCGTTCCAGTGAGCTTTATTGGCATAGGAAGCTCTTCTATCAGGAACTAGTGGAGGGGACCGCGAAGGATCCACTACGTGAGCGACTCGGCTTGTTGGAGGAGTTTCGCTCCTTCTGGTCTTGGGCGCCAGCAGCGGATTGCCTCAGTAACGCTGAGTTTTCGCTTACCTGGCGACTTGTTCGGAATAGGCTATCTCTCAATGACAAGGCCTTCATATAGGGCTTGGCGGATTTGTCAGACTGTCAACGATGTGACCTTGGTCTAGAGGAAACGGCTTCACACGCCTTCTACCATTGTCCTCAGATCCGCCCTTTATGGGACCGTGTCGGCGAGTTGACGGCTCGTATCGATCCACAAAAGCTCGTGCTCATTGATCGTGCATACGCGTGTGACAATCGCCCCCGTATTTTGGGGTGAAACGATTGGTGGCCACGGCCCGAATAGTGATTTGGACGACGCGACAGGAGGAAGTCTTACGAGGCAGCCGTCTTTCTCATCAGGATCTGATCTGATTCTTTGAGCATCAGCTCAAGATGAAGATTAGAACTGATAGAAAACGCTTGCTTTCGACAGACTTTAGCGAAAGGTGGTTGACTAAGGCGTGCTTGGTTCGTGTGAACCGGGCTAACCTTAATTTTCTCTTTTAGGTCTACCTATTTCACATCGGTGTGGTTTCCTGTGGAGCCCACCCCTGGTTAGGCTAGACAAGCTTTGTGTACCTAGTTAATTTGAGTAAGTGTTGTTCCCAGCTACATCTTTGGTTATTTGAGATTCCCAACCTCCCCAGTTTGTTTTTGACCTCTCTTTCATCTCGACTGGGTCAGCTTTATTTATTCCCCATGTCCGTATATATATTTTCCTTTCCCTCTCTCTTAGCGAGAGAGCCTCTTGATTTTGTCGTAGGGCAGAATACAGCGCCCACCTTTTGGGGGGGGGTGGACGGGCCCTACTAGCATCAGTTATAATTATTTTACTTTGTTTTGGGGTTAATCCCCTTCTCTGTCATTATAAATAATCCATAAAATTTTATGTATAAATTTTTATCATCATCTAATTTTTATATCACGGGGTGCGTTGTGTAGGTTCACCTGAGAGGATGCGGTATTATGGTATATGGAGGATTGTTTAGTGATGGATGAGTTTTTATGGTGAATGGGCGAATTGTAATGAGTAAACGGGTCGTGAATTGGATTAGCTAGGTATAAGATAGTTAAGACCAGCCTCAACCCATTCTTTCTTTTCAGCCTTGTGCTATAATTGTATATTTTATACAATAAATATCGAGTATTTTAACTTCAGACTATTTGCTACACGAACCTATGTCACTCCATCTGAAGTTTTCAAAGTTACTTGCGAACATAAAACAAACTTCCAGAAATTTCACTCACTCATCAATTCATTCATACAGCAGCCTCTAATCATTC